CACCACCATCATAATTGTTCCCATATTGATATAGGTATTATAATATAAAATGGAGGCCGGTATCTTGCAGAGAGACAGACTATAAAATCCTTACCAGAATTATCCAACCAAGTTCTCTGTCACAGATGTTAAAAAGTGCTCTCTGACCAACCTGAACCCTATGTTTTAAAATGCAAAGGCTTCAGTGCTGTGGATGACTAGGAGTGATGCTTAAAAATAAAATGAAGCAATAAGGTATACATTTTCATCAATGTTATAAAATGTGGTTGGATAAAATAATAACAAAATAAATAATTAAATAATTTTTGAATTAAAAAATAAATGGACATAAATGAAGTGTATATCTTGCTCTCCAATTACAGTGCATCTTATATCTACTTTAAACGGTCCAAATACATTTTTAAAGGGAAAGTTCAACCAAAAATAACAATTCTGTCATCATTTACTCACCCTTAAGTTGTTCCAAATCTGTATAAAGTTCTGTTGAACATAAAAGAATGTATTTTTTTTTTTAGAATTAATTTGAAGAATACTGGTAACCAAACAGTCACTGGTAGCTGTTGACTGCCATAGTATGGAAAAAAAATATTATAACAGATACCAGCAACTGTTTGGTTACCCACATTCTTCAAAACATCTTCTTTTGTGTTTAAGAGAAGAAAGAAATTCAAACAGGTTTGGAACGACATGAGAGTATGACAACATTTTCATTTTTGGGTGAACTAAAGAAAAGCATTTGACCAAACGACAAAGAAAATAAACTTGTGAATGTTTTTGTTTTTGTTTCTTCCTTAGCTCTGTTTGGTGTTGGGCATACATTCAGAAAACACAAAAGCATGATTTATTTTAATATTATTCTCTCTAACATGAGAGAAGACCAGGAAACGCTATACTTCAAGATGGAAAATTGTATATGAAAAAATATATATTTTAAAATAAATTATAGGCTACAGTACATATGAAGCCCCTGCAAATAGCTTGTAAATTATATAAATTCTTAGAATGATAGCCTATATAAATTATACAGATATTGTATGGCAAGAGGTGAGAGTTAAGAATGGATGATATTGAAACCTAAAATAATATTTCCATGAGTAGAGAAGATATAATTTGCCTTTCCTGGTAGTTGTTCATAAGCCAACAGCTGACAGGGAGCGTCTTGACTTTGAATTAGAGTGACCAGGACAGTTCAAATCTTTATAAATCCCACTCTGTCTGACTGTCTTTCTCTTTTTCAGCTTGTACTCAAAGAGCTCTGTGTGTGAATCATGGACGAGGAGTTTGATTTTGTTAGAGTTAGTTCAATACTATTTTAAGCCACAGGAGTGCTGTCTGCAAAGCTCTGGCCAAGTTGTTAGAGAGGCCTGTGTCTGCGTCATCCAAACAACCGTGCCTCTGCTCGCCTCTCTATTCCTTATAAAGGTTGACATGCTTGTAAATGTCTTCCTGCGTTTACAGTGCTTTGTTACAGTTGATGGGTCGGTAGAGTAAATCCAGATAATATCTGATTTTAGACAGACGCACATTGGATATATATTTTTAAAAGTGTGATAGTTTCTTTCAGACAAGAAATGGTTTGACTGGCAGATGGGATGTGCACTAGTTTAGTTCAGTTTAGTTTAATTTAGTTTAGTATAATCTATATGTAATCACACAAAAAATTAGAAATGTTATTTAAGGAAAATGAAGCATTTTTTATGTAATTATCATTGTTTTAATGCAAAATAAAATCTTATTGTCATTACTGTAATAAAAAACAACAACTATGTATTATTTAAATGCTAAATTGTTTGTAAATAATGCTAGTTTGTCGTACCGTCTAAATTATGCTGATTTCAATAAAAATAAATGTTATAGTAAATTTCAAATGAGAATCACCATTAACAATAATGAATACTGCAAAAAAAATTTTTAAAAATGACATTGTGTTATTGGTCTTTTGTATACAATAAATGTCAGTTATTCTGTGTTTACACTGGGTTTGTTTAAACCAGATTAGATTTATTCATGCGTCTGTGTTTTTACGCAAGCCTTCTGTGGAAATCCGTCTTTATTTCAAGAACTGCTTGAAGTGCTATCCAGCAGTGAACATTAACATTCTTGTGTAATATGAAAACTATGAACATTTAAAATAGTAATTTAAGCCTTGCAAAACTTTATTCTCTTCATATTAATTCTTGAAATACATAAAAAGTTTGTATTAGCATGGGTAGTGTGCACTGTGGGTTTGGCAGGCCAGGTTTGTTCAGAGTGTTTATACAGTAGTTCAGGATGACTTGGCCCACTCATTGACTGAGAGCTGCAGTTTCTCCATCCTTCTAGAAATCCCACTGTCTAACGCTCCATTTAAGGACTGATCCGCAGATGTGTACTATTGGAGATGACTGATGCTTTACTGCGCTTTGTGAGGGATAATACTCATTCCAGAGAACAGATGAAAGCATATACTAGCGTTACACATGACTGTCAGCACATACGATCATATTTTCACGTAGGTTGGAATGCACATGAACAGTTTTGTATATTGTTTGTGTATTTGTGGGAGGTGGTGGTGGTGGTAATAGACAGTACAGTGTCCTTGGAAAAGCTACGGATGTTAGATCGGCATCATTCCAGTTTCTTTGGTTGTTAGCTACTCTAACGATAGCATACACTATCCATCTCATTCTATCCATGGTTTTCTGTCTTTGCATTAGAGACTAGAAGATGTTTATCCTCAGGGATATATTTAGTTTTATACAATGGTCTTTGTGATGAAACGTCAGAAGAGAAGGATAACAGTTTCTATTAATTTGTTAAAAATACATAAAATACATTTCTTTAAGAAATAATGCCACTTCTTCTTGATGAGCGTGTTTTTAATTTCTGACATAAGATTCAGTTATTTTGTAAGTCCAGGTCCAGTCAAACTGTCATATGGACTGGTGATACATCTGTCCTAATTAAAATAAAATGTTTATTAAAGTAATTGTATTAAAATAAGGATTAGAAAGAACTAACTTGGTGTACAAAAATAACTCAAACTAAACCTCAAACTATACAGACATATAAAAAAAAACGACTAAAAATTACAAAAACACTCAACAAAATTAAAATGAAAATAATGGAAAATATAAAGATAAAAAACTAATTTAAACTATTAATAAAATCAACTACAATACTATCTCAATAGTACTATAATAACACTGATTTGACATTTTTAAACATCAGAAAATTTGACATTTTTATGAAAAGACCAGGTTAGTTTGGGTTGTAATATGTCATGTGGTGTGACTCCCCAAAAACACTTATGAATTAATATCTGGCTATAAAGAGAACATTTCTTAGAACTTGGCACATATTTTAAACTACAGATTTATTTTCTTCATTATAATAGATACTCTAATTTGTACTCTAATTAATACTCGGTGGTCTCAGCACATTAAACTAAGAGAAAGTAGACTGACACACACACACACACAAATTAAATGAACTTTTAAGCTTTATTGTGGCAACAGTAAGAGCTGAATACGAAATCAAACCTTTGACAAAAATCACTTTCAAGTCCAGCGAATACTCGAGCCAAATCCACCATGCCTTACTTTTATCTGGAGAAATTATGAATTCTGACCTTTTCTCCCTTTGTGTGCATGTTAAACTCTGAATGTGGCGAATATATTTCTCTTCTTCACAATCCTTCACTTCTGCTACACAATGTCATATTTCAGTCTGGTCTCAGAAACTGTTCGGTGCATATGTGCTGGAATGACCGAGAGAGAAACTTTATTGAGTCTCAAGACCTTTGACAAAAATCACTTTGAAGTCCAGCGAATACTCGAGCCAAATCCACCATGCCTTACTTTTATCTGGAGAAATGATGAATTCTGACCTTTTCTCCCTTTGTGTGCATGTTAAACTCTGAGTGTGGCGAATATATTTCTCTTCTTCACAATCCTTCACTTCTGCTACACAATGTCATATTTCAGTCTGGTCTCAGAAACTGTTCGGTGCATATGTGCTGGAATGACCGAGAGAGAAACTTTATTGAGTCTCAAGAAAGAAACCTCAAGGCATTTCTACCACATCCATTGGCTTTGTAGTGGAGAACACAAACTTTATTGGAATCATATCTGGAAAATATTGTCTATGAAAATTATTGATGCAAAAGAATCTGAACTCCCCCAAATCCCAGCTGCCTGTCATGGTTTCCAGCTCAAAACAGCAACGGCGAGAACCCGCATATTTATGTCAAAGGAAGTGAACATGGCATCGCCCATAAATCCCTTGTGCTTGATTAAACAGCTCACCAGATGCATCAGCATATTTTCTAAATGTGGTTGCTTATTCAATAGTTTCAGCATATTACCACTTCAGAACGATGCCATCATAATCCTGTCCAATTTAATTTTCAAGGATCAACTATACTGTCAAAGAAATGATGTGGCTTCTAATTCATTTATTCAGCATGTGAATTATAGGGATTCAGTCTTAATTAATATTTTCAGAGACCCAAAGAGGATTTCACAATATTACATCAGTTCTTTGATTGACATAACACCTCTTTTGACATAACACAGCTTTTCTATAGTAATGCAAGGACTTCTGGGAACATTCTTGTACTGTTTTTTCATTGCACATTATATAATGACTTTATTTTGTACTTTAAAATTTTTTTTAAATGAATTTAAAAATGTTAAAAAAAATGTTGTTGTACAAGTACATTCATTGCCTTGTTTGAGGTAATATAGATTATCACCATATATTTATTGCAATTATATATATTTTAAAAAGATTTAAAATACTTTAAACTAATATTGACATATTATAATACAATATAATTACAACAAATGACAAGCTAACTTGCAGTTAATTTTATTTTTATTTTTTCATTAATTTACCTCTTTGATTTTATTTATTTATTTACAGAACATTATACATAATAATCTAAGAAAGAAATATGTAGTGGATGATGTCCTGTTATTATAGCAAAATAACCAAGAAGCAGGGGTCTTTTATCGCCATGGAGTTTATTTTGTTATCATGACAGACTGACTGTACATAATAATAAATGGACATGAAATATTAATTTAAGCTGAAATTATTTTATTACGTGAAAAGAAAGAGACCATAGAGTGAAATGAAACACATGAAACTAGCACAGCTAATGCTTCCCAAAAGCATTGTAAACCTAAGTAGATTGTAGAACCCATTGGCACCAACAGTCCAATGCAGCCCTGGCCTTCAATACAATGGGAATCTGGCCTCTGTCATGTGCTGAATCTCTCTGCAGCAGGTTAAGGAAACTCCACAGACTTTGGAATGTTTTGACTGCTGCTTTTATTCCAAGATTCAGCCATAATGTTTCAGTATCCGTCAAGAGTGTGAGCTTTCTCCCTCCATCTCTCCTTGCATTTCGTCTGCCGCACTGGAGGTCTGAAAGCTATTGTATTCATCCAGCAACACTTCTTACAGAAGACAGACTGTATTCTTCCAGGAAAATCACAGATACTCCATCTGACTGTCTTCTTGGATATGGAACTCCCTGAGAGAACCGGATTGTTTCGGATTTCCGCTGTTGGTCTCGGGATGGAGAAATAGAATTGCGGTCCCTGTTATGGGTTTCTCTCTACCATCTACAACATCTGCAAATGATTGGGAAGGGAAGTGAAGAGGAAAAGGGGAAAAAATAAAACCCATCCTCCATCAATTGGCCATTTCAAGAGCTCTCACTGCCTTGTAAACACCAACATGCCATGGCAAACTCAAGCCAGGCCGGACTCACTCAACTACAACGGCAAGACGGAGAATTTGAGAACATCTGAGACCGACAATGAGGCAACTCTGAGGGGAAAAAAGTACATGTGGCATCTAAGTTTACAATCTTGCTAATTTACCATGACGCTAGGATGCTAACAAAGCTTTTCCATCAGATTGCAGTCCAGACCCCTCTCTGTATACTCCCTTGCCTCAAAGATTTCATTACAGTTGAGGTTTTTGGGTCTTGACCAGTATCTTAAGCAAGCTGGCAAACCAAGCATAAATAAACACAAGCAACGGTTTATATGAATCTCAAGGTCTAATTCAGTCAACAGAAAAGTACTGGTATTGGAATTGTATTGCCATGTTTTTTGACATGTACCAAGGTGATAAAATTATATTATATATTAATATAGAAAACATTTAGTAGCATGATATTACCATTTGATACCAATATTTGTACCACTGCAATGTTTTGTAAGAATATCCTTTGTATATTGCAATAATCAACCACTCTCAGCATGACCAATGTTTAATTTGTTAATAAATAAATACATACGTTTAATAATTTATGTTATAATTGTAATTTTAGATATGAATTTAAATTTAAATAGTTGAATATTAAATAAATATTAACTAGATGGGTGCATTTTGTGCACACATTTATGCATATATGAGGAATTTCTACATATTTGTAGTAGACTGTGTGGATTCATTTTCAAGCTCACGTTTGGTTGTATAATCATTATTGACTCTTCGCGGTGATGTAAAGTTTATGAAGTGTGTTTCCCACTTCAGCACTGAGCCAAGAAGCATTCATAAATCTGTCAGTATTGTCTGTCTGCATTCATACTGAAGAATGAGAGTCTTTACTTGCATGTCTGTGTCCCACCGCCTCTACAGGATGAACTCTTACGATGATGACGAGGAGGCGGCCCGGGAGCACCGGAGACGAGCCCGTCAGGAACGCCTGAGCAATATGGAGAATGAAGAGTCGAGTAACACTACAACAGAAACAAACAGGTAAGTGGGGTAATTTTGCCGGAAATGCAGAAATAAGCCATAATTTTGTTATATTTGTAACTGTTTGGTAGATACATTTATAATTTCTATTGCATTACTACTAGTACTGTTACTGCTAATAAAACAGATCTCTGGGGGCCCCAAAAGTGCGTGGGCCCTTAGAATCGTCCTAACTTTCCCCCCTTAGCGGCACCCCTGTTTGTGAGTGTGTGTGTGTGTATACAGAATATATACACACAAATTTAAATTTACATAAATCCTGATGTAAAATCGAAAATCTTTCCATAACACAAATATTTGACTATACTGATAATGTTTTTCTTTTCAGTGCAGAGACGTCCTCCTTGATCACTAGTTCTGCACCGGCTGAGGATGATGATCAGGCTCTCTTAGAGAGGATTGCCAGGAGAGAAGAGCAGAGACAGAAAAGGATGAAGGAAGCTTTGGAGAGACAGAAGGAAGTTGATCCCACCATCACGGATGAAACTGTCACCACCAGCACCACTACCACAGAGGACGAGCCAAGTCGTAGAATTGACGAACAAGAGTCCTCCCAAAGTGATGTCTCTTCAACAGAAACCAACTCTTGGAAGGAAAGGGAAGAGAAAAAAGAGGAGGAAAATATAGAGGAGAACAGCTTTGAGATTGAGGAGACTATCACAAAAAAGGAGGACCCAGTGCCTGTCAAAGCAGCCGAGGAACCCAAAGAATCTCCTGAGAAGATTGACAAACCAGAAGAGGAAAATAGACCACAGAGGTCCTACCTCAGAGAACAGGTCATTTTCTCAACATTTTTTGCTGTTATTCCACCATATGATGAAAGTTTAGTATGTTAGCAATGCATTTCATGTGGTTTCTACAATATTAGTTTATTCTGACTCTTCATTTGTTACAGGAATCCACGGAGGAGAAACCCAAAGAACCAGCTGTACCAAATGAGGTATGGGATTCCTAGGATTTGCTTGGGTTTTTAACCCAAAAATGGGTTTTATGGTGGAACATATTTTCAATTATTTGTTATATTTTTAGGAAGAATCAAGTATAGAGACTAAAGAACAAACAAATGCAGATTTAGAAAAGAACAAGGTTGAAAATGAAAGTCAAATATCAAGAAAAGAACCGACAAAAGAGGACCAAATACAGGTGGAAGTCATAGTGGAGTCAACTACACCACAGACTGAAGAGGAAAAGCTGGTGGAGAAAGAAGAACAGGTTAAGAATCCTGAAGAAAAACTTGTTGAGGTGAAGGCTCAAATTCAAGACGAAGCTCCAGTGAAGAAGAAGGATGAGAAACCTATGAAAGAGCAAGAGAAACCCCATGTACCAGTTGAAGAAACGCCACAAAAATCAATTAGGGAAGTTGAGGTGAAAGCCAAAACCCCAAAGAAAGAGGAGGAGAAAGCACAACTGAAGAGAGAGGTTGAAGAAAAACCATCAACACCAAAGAAGAAGGTTGAGGAGAAACCTGTGACTCCAAAGAAAGAGGTTGAGGAAAAGCCTAAATGGAAGAAAGAGGCTGAAGAAGCGAAGGCCAAAGTTGAAGAAAAAGTCAAATCAAAGAAAGAGAAGGTATTCACCTCTTAGCCTGAGTGATGCATAGAAATCACAGACGTGCTTTGTGCACAGCCCACGCTTTTAATGCACTTTTTGGTTTGACTGGATGGACAGTTTTTGCGTAAATCTCATGAAATCTGTAATGTGTTATATTTCATTTATGCAAGTTCATTATTGTTTTACTTTTTTTTTTTTACTGTAATACACTGTAATATACAATATTTAATTAATTATTACAGTAATAAGAATATAATGAGTCACCATTTAAAAAAATGGGAATTAGAATGCCTGTTTTTGTTTCTTTAGGTTGTAGAGGAAAAAACAAAACCTTCCTTTTTACGTGACAAAGTAAGTTAATGTCGAAATAGCATCACAGCTCTAAAATAGCATCACCAAGAGATTTATAATTGATGGAATGGCGGCACAACCTAAGAATAAAATAATATTCATTGTTTCTCCATTCAAAGCTGAAAGTGTCAACAAAGCCGCAAGATGTAGCTGACAGCACCGCCAAAGCCAAGAAACCAGAGAAGACACTAAGGCAAAGACTCATTTGTCATTTCATAATTTACTCTATTTGCATTCCCAGATTTTTTTTGGAGAGCCAAAATGAATATAAAGACATTGTTTCTTCACGTTTTAGTCCCACCAGCTTGCGTTCTCCTGACACAGAGAAGCAAGATCCCATCGCCAAGCTGGAGGCAGAACGCAAGCTGCAGGAGCTGAAGCGCAGACGGAATGAGACAGACAGCGAGGCGCTGGAGAAGATGAAGCAGAAGCAGCAAACTGCAGAGGCCGAGCTGGAGGAGCTGAAGAAGAAGAGGGAGGAAAGGAGGAAGATTCTTGAGGAGGAGGAGAAGCAGAAGAAACAGCAGTTGGCAGAAAAGAAAGCCAAAGAGGAGGTAGAAAAAGAAATCTGGGCAAATGCTCATTTTCATACTAATTCTGCTTACTAAAAGTATGTACTGTGCTGGTGATGGTACAGTATGTACTTTTAAGTATATACAGTAGTCAAACAGTATGCCAGTATTTAGACAACTAAATATGACTAAATACTACTTTTTTGATACATCTGCATAACCTGCCGTAGTGCAAAGATTTATATGTAATATTAGCCTAAAACATATACACAAATTCTTGATTTGAAAACTCAACAATGATTTGGAATGCTAGTCTTGTTCTGGCATACTATCTAGTACAAATAATATGCAAATTAGAATGCATCAAACGTGCCAAAATTAACATTTATGCTGACTAAAGGGACATTCACATGCAACATGTTTAAAAAACAATGTGAGATGCAGACAGTGGAATGAAACAAAAGCAAGGTCTCGAGATATGTCTTTTAAAAGTTTAACTTATTTTAACTTGATAGCCACAATTTTAGAATGTTGTGTTATGCACAAAACAAGCACAATGGTCAAATGCATTCAACTAGTGCATATTTACTTTATGGAAAAGTAGCGCAGTGGAATGCAAAAACGCGTTTATAGAACACGTTATGTGTGAAATGAATGCAAAGCAAGCGCAATAATCAAAGAAGTCCATCTAATGCAAATTTACAGCAAAAAAGAATGGAAAAGTAGCACAGTGGAATACAAAAATGCATTTTTAGAATGCCAGGCTATGCACAAAATGAGTGCATCACAAGTACATTGGCCGAAAGACATCTGTCTAGTGCAAATTTATGTTGCACAATGGAAAAGTAGTGCAGTGGAAAACTAAACTCATTTTGTGTGAATGGCCAATCATACACTTTATTTGTGAGAAGTATACTGCCCTTGTCTTCTTCTTGTCACTAAAATGAACAGGAAGAGAGGAGGAAGATGAAGGAAGAGATTGAGCGAAGGAGAGCAGAGGCAGCCGAGAAAAAAAAACAAAAGGAGGAGTCGAAAGGAGGGAGCAAAGCACCATTTATCGCGCCGAAGGGCGCCTCCGGAAAGGTCACTGACTCTCTGACCAATTCTAAGTGTGACTTACAAAAAAGCACTATAGTATTACCATGTTTTTTGAACATGGTACCATAGTAATGTGTTTTATGTGATACTATTTGTTTGCTTTTTCTGACAGATTGGCGAAAAAGCTGAATTTCTGAACAAATCTGCTCTAAAAAGGTAAGAAGTGTGTCAAACAACAGTCAAACAGTACTGGGGTCTAGGATATACTGAGTTGATACTATTTTTTATTTACACCAGTCCGGTAAAGACATCACACACTCCATTAATTTGCAAGATTGGAAACAGACTAGAGCAATACACTTCTGCTGTTCAGGTGAGGAATTGTAAACACTAGAGCAGCCACCTGTCATTTATGACTCAGTTTGAGATTATCTGCTGTTGTCCAGACCAAAGAAGTGACCAAATCACCCAAATCTCCTGTGGATGTACCTGTGGCTGAAGGCCTGCGGAGCATCAAGAGTATGTGGGAGAAGGGGAATGTGGTTAATCCCACCCCGAGTCCGGCAAGCCCCCCAGCGGTCACCAAGGTATCAAGAGGAGAGAAAGAGTTTTAGTACATGATTACTGAAATAAGCAGATAAAGCAGTAATAGTTTGACTGAAAACAAAAGTATGAATGAATGAAAACTGTCCTCTCAGGAAACAGCTGGCCTGAACATCGGTTTGGCTGGTCGTATTAACAGCTGGAAAACCAAGACTCCAGAGCCCAAGCCTCCTGAACCGAAACCAGCTCCTGAACCAGAAAAACCACCTGCCAAAACAGTGAGTCTGTCACTTCATCTATCTGTCTGTCCGTCCGTCTATCGATATGCCAGTGTTACTTTAGTATTAATTAAATAATACTATAGTATTTATTCATATTTTGAATTAGATTTTAAGATTTTCATTTTAAATTGTTTGTTTTAGAAATTTTATGATGTGCTTTTGCTAATTTATTTATATATTTTAATATTTCTATATAGTTTTATTTCATTTTTATACCAATTTTAGTTGTTAGTAATTTTAATACTTAAGTTTTAAGTATTTCAGTTACTTGCAAAGGCTTCATTTGTTTTTTTTTAAGTTCAAGTCAGCTTTGTTTTGTGTTTTTCCATACACTTAGGCCTTTAGTGAAATGCAGTAAATAGGAAATTCTTTTCACTTGGAGAAAAGCTATATGATTGTTTAACCTCACCTGTTGACAAAGTGGAAATAAAAGCTGGTGAGATACCAGAGATTTGTGAACTGAAAATTAATTCCCAAGATATAGAGAAGGTTTTGAAATGGAGTAGTGTTCTTGTCGGCAGTAGAAATATTTCAGCTTTGGCATAAAACAAAAAAAATGAATGTCTTTGTAGAAATCAGTGAAAGGTCAAGTGTTGAAACTCGCTCTGCATTGATGTGGCACAGCTCCAACCTTCTCTCCTGAGCTATATTTCACTCATGGCTCTATGTTTATTTTAAGCTTCTTTTACCAGACTTCAATATCAGAATCACTCACACACATATATTAAGAAGTGAATTGGAGACTATAGTAACTATGTAAGAAGCAGACATTGTTCACAGTGACCTGTTCACACACAATCCACGACCATCAGACGACCCTCTCTGTGGAGATTTTACCTACTTTGATAGATGGGGTTTATAGTCTACAATGCGCAATGAATACAGTGATACAAAATTGACTGTGTCTGAGAGGGGTTTTCATTTGAACTTGTATCAGTTTTAATGTGTTTTTATGCTCACAGACCACAGAACATGAGGGAGAATGGTCTTTATTTATGCATCTACATTTTCTATTATAGAATTCAAAATGTCCACATGAACAGCAAAGTGTGGTAACAGTTAAAGTAAATTTAGCTAAACACTTTTCTATTCTGCATGGTACAAGGTGGCCCTCCAGTGATTCTTCAGCGTATTGCATTTGTGGTTTAGATTTAAAAAGTGTATAGAAATCTAAAAAAAAAAACGTACAAAATTAGTTAAAATTAACAACTACCTTACTATTATTAAGAAGCAAATTAGGAGCTTGAGGCAAAAGTTAATAGTGAGAATTGGTCCCCAAACCAAAGTGTAACCAATAAATTATATAATTAACATTTGTTCATTATTTTTTATTATTATTATTTTTAAATAACCTAAAAAAGCACCATGGTACTAGCATTAACACATGGTTTATTAAGATAATAAACTAATTCAATTAATATAATTAGATATTTTATGTAATAGTAATAATTATATAAAATTATCAAAATATATGTTTATAGTTCTATCTTTAATAATTAAGTTGGGTGCCATTACTTTTCGGGCATGTGCCGTGGTAACACTATGGTATTCTTTGAAGTACCTTGGAATACCATGTAAAAACCATGGTACATGTTTACAATGGTATTGCCATCTGACACAGTCTCAGTACTTTGCTGAAAGGATCCTTTTATTTTCCATTACTGATTTTATCTCCTTCCCACTCCTCTAGCTGTGGCCTTTTCTTTTCCTTTTCCCTCTCCTATCACATTGCTGTCCGCTGTTTTTCCTCTGCTTCGATTCAATCCAGTTCTAGAAAGGTACATTTTAATACAGGAAACATTAACAAAAATCCATTAACAACCTACTGTATTCAAATCTAATGGAGGGTGGTGTAATTTTGTGTTTTGATAGGAGAAAAAGGCAGCTGAGGTCACTAAACCACGTGGCCCATGGGAAACAAAGGGCTCCTCACCTGCCAAGGTAAGCTGAGTGGGTGGAAACATCATACGGTGTTCAATCCATAAATGTTAGTTATTTCATTGTTTGTTTCCTTTGACCGGCACAGAAAAGACTGACAGGTCAGGAAAGTGGTGTGTTGATTTTATGGTTTGTTATTCACATTACACAGATTATTGGCTCACCTACCCACTTTACAATTAGCTAGCATGTCTTTAGCTAGCAAAATATACGTGAAAGATTGCTTCCAGGTCTCATGAATCCAAGCAATGGCCCTGTTTCTGAAAAAGGCCTTTCATCTCGAAGGTTCTGTATCATCTCAGTGGTTCGTTTTATACTGTATATGACTGGATGGCAATGTTTTGATGTGCAATGGTCCATCAGCATACCTGTATCCCATCATTCCCTTTGCAGATATTGTGCCTACAGTGTTCCGTCAGATTAAGGTCAAATGATGTGTTCTCATTATCTTTTCTTATTTATTTTTTCCCCAATATTATTAACAGTTATACCTTTAATAGTACCAAAAATACCAACACAATCTCTTGCACTCGATCTGCTTACGCCCCAGTGACAGTTATGTTTAGGGGTGGACCTTCATGATTACTTTTTCAAAAAATTTTACATTTTCATACAATTCACATTGTATGAATTCATATAAAATCGCCACTTCGTAAAATAGTCACGTTTTCCTGTGAGATTGGGTTGAAGATACCTAATGCAAGACTTTTTCAAATCACGCTCTCATGGGGTTGTTTTTGTTCCAGGTGTTCGCAGCCAAGAGTAAATTTGTCACAAACGGTAAGTGACCTTTCTGTTTTTTTCTCTCTCTCTCATTTAGTACCAAATGTCAACATTTGTAAAGGAATAGTTCAACCAAAATGAAAATCATTTCATCATTTACTCACCCTCATGTCCTTCCAAATCTGTATGACTTTTTTTCCTCTGTGGAACACAAAAGATATTCTGCAGAATGTTTCAACTGCTTTTGTCCATACAATGAAAATCAAATGGGGTCCAAAAAATAACATTCATCCTCATTGACATTCATTGGACAAAAAAAAGGCATTTTTCAAAACATCTTAACACCACTGAGTAGATTTGCTCCCTAAAAAGGGTGGAGCAGTGGGAGGTGTTTTAATTGACGCGGCGACGGCAAATGTCCGAAATCATGACCCTAACTGGCCAGCAAGATTTGAAATCTCTCGTTCGCATATCATGCCACGCTATATTTAAAGCCCTGATCTTGTTCTCCTGCATTGGACCGCCAACGTGTCAGACATAATTCCAACGTGTTCGTTTCGCTCAGTAACTCCCATGTAGCATTGTGTCGTGATGCGTCGCATTCCCTGCCGCAGCTGTTCTGTTGTGCCAAAGCATGGGCATGAATCACTGGATTAGCATGATGTCACATAGCAAAGTAGTTTAATATTCAGAGTTACAGAAAGGATAAAAGTACCACATTATGTCACATTAACCGCGCCTTAACACCCAAATCTAGCACATATTCTGACAGGGATCCTGTTTTTATGGTTTATTACTATTAATTCAAAGATACTAGCGAAAAAGCTAGCAAAGAAGCTAGTGTCGGCAACCTTCCCTGGTCTTTCAGCTGAATTTGTCCTTGAGAGTGACATAGATGACAATGTACCAGGTATTTGCCGCACTTGTGGCACAACTTGAGACCTGTGACCATATCGCTCGTGTGTATTCGTCTGGGTCACGGCACCAACGGGTTAACTCTCTAACGGGGAACAGGTGCGGACGGCTGATGTATTTGCTTTTGTGTATTTGAGGAAGTGTTGAAAAAGCCTGCTGAGTTATACACATGACGTATGTAGAGCAAATGCAACTCGCTCATACCGTCTCTTTGATAACTCATTAGCACATTAACAATGTATTCCCTTATGTTTTACAGGAACAAGAAAATAAAGACATCCAACAGATCCCAGATCAGCCAAAATGGAAGATGCATCCATTAAATATGCACGATTTTGTAACTTCAGGTTACATTGGAAATCAAGCGACAACTTAACAGTACAAAATAAATATTTTGTAAGTTCAAAAATTCTTACAATAGTACACAAAAATGCCATTAAAATTAAACATTTAAATTTATTACAATTACCATGAATTGCACAAGCCCAATAATACATATTAAAGTATTAGTATCAAACATTATAAGCGACAGGTGGATTTACGCCAAAAAAAAAATAATAATAATTTGATTGGACGCAAGTGTTTAAGTGGAAAGTGTTTTCACATCTTTTAAACATTGATAATCTTACTTATTTTGCTCTCATAATTATGCATGATTATATGATTAGTTGCATTTTATTATTTGCATTTAGCATTATTTTGTCCCTGCTGTCTAGAACCCTATAAGATGAAAATAACAAAACAAAAACAACAACAACAAACAAAACTTCTAATTAATTTTCTTATTGAATTCTATAAACATTTCACATTTATTACATCTGAAAATAAAGTGATAATAAATCATTATAATACAATTCATTTACAGCTGCCAGTAACCATTAAAACAGATGCGGTCGCATTAACAAAGTTTTTGGCTAAATTTCACAGGGAAATTGTCTTTTGTCAGTAGTGTAGCCATGTATGAAGCATGGTTCATGCAGAAGTCAAGTAGCTTTCTGTTGGCAAATTTGTGCAATCAATGTGAACCTGTTGCAAAATCTGTGTGTCAATCTTTCGTTCTTAAGTGAACTTCCAGATTATTAAAAAATGTAAAAAATATTACGAAAACAAATTAAAAATTCCCATCCTCCCTCTGGAGTTTCACGTGCATGGAGATTCAGATGACCTGTTGATTTTACGCTCATTATGTAATGCTATATAACATGTTGTGGTTTAGCTGTTTGATCATGCTTGGCTAATAACTGCTTTTGCCTCATGACTTTTATTCATATGCTTTGCACTTGGAGTCTCAAAGTCATGCTACGAACACTACATCTGATGAGACAGAATTAAAAATAATATGTACAACATTATAAATCATTTTGGTGTAATATAGCTCAACTCTTTCAAAACATCAATCAAACTTTTGAACTATTTCCTACTATAACAGTTCAAACTGTCAGTGATGATCTCAACAACTGTACAAGCTTTACAGTAAAGTAGTGATACATGCACGCATTGCCTCTGTGTGTTTCCTGTAATGCATTCATTGTCATTTGAGACAAACTGTCTGCTTCTTTCTTCAAATGTATTGGGTTTCATAGGGTGGTAAAACAAGGCAGAGTATGAGCAGGTCAAAGAGAATGTTTGGTTTTAGAACTTCACTGAAATGCATCTGACAGTCTAACAATAGACGAAGGCTTTCAGCACACGCCAATGAGAGGCCATAGTGATCACGTGGTGTGTTAGTATGTTAGTCTTGAGACTGAGGCCCGCCGCTGCTCTAACACTGCACTCTAAAAGAGAGCTGCTCCATCTCTGAGAGCCGCAAACAACCCAGGTAAGAGTTTCAAGAGAAATCTATTTCTGCCAAATCCCTGCCTTATAAGAAAAATGAACAAGATGTATTTTGGTATTGGTGTTGTGTATAAAAATGTTAGTTGTTTCTTAATGTATCCTGCATTTAATCTTTGAGCTAGTTTATAGTCATGTCTGATACAGAAGATGTGATGGATGAGGGAGTTCAGTGAGTAACAGTCTTTTACTCCTAAGTTTGCAATATTTAATCATTTTATAATGTATTTGCATGATTTATTATGATAAAAAATAATTCATATTTTCACTTATAAATCTTTTGTCTCTGTGTTTGTGTTTGATCTAATTTTATAATAGGGAGGAAGGTATTGTATATTTTAATACTATAATTTAACATTTTATTTTTATTATAATTGTTTTTTGTTATTTATAATGCCAGTGGCAATTTACATACATTTACGTTGGTATATATTGTTTGCATCAAGTATAATTACCAACAAACAGAATAGACATTATCTGAGCAAAATCAGTAAAAATTGCACTCAGAAAACAGATACTGCATATACTAATTCTTATTATTTTAATAACATTTTTAAAAATAATTTGGAATTGTTTATTGTTACTATTTTATTTAAATGCAATTAAAAACATCTCTTTCTCCAATTATAGTAGATGACTCAAAGTCCAAACCAAAGTAAGTCCATTGTTCTCTTGTATGTATCATTATATAGCCAGATAAAACTTTTATTTTAATAGCTTAATCTTTTATCTTCAGATATCTATCAAATATCCAAGCACCAAAGATTCCAGAGGGAGAAAAAGTAGATTTTGATGTAAGTAGGAGATTTTTCTCTTAAAACACACACCTCTCTCACTTTCAAACCCCTGGCTGTAACCTCCATCATTTGTGTGTGTGTGTGTGTGTGTGTGTGGCAGCACATCCAAAAAAAGCGTCAGGAGAAGGATTTAGCAGAACTACAGTCTCTTATAGAGGCTCATTTCCTCTAGAGACAGAAAGATGAAGAGGAACTCATTGCTCTGGTCAACAGAATCGTGAGTGTTTCCTTATAAATGTTGTGTATTGCTGATGCAAATGTCTTTTTTTTTTGTAAATGTTGTTTTCAGTTTGTACAGCTCTTTGTCTACAGTGATTCTAATAAGTTTACATACTTTTTTGTTAAATATGTAAAAAGAGGCAGAACATTTTTTTTAGAATCCCTCAATTTTTTGTTTTAAACAAGAGAAACATCTTGCAGATCCTGCAAGGGAAACATGAACTTACGAGCAGAAGTATGTGTTTGAACAGGAGAAGAGGCGAGCCGAGAGAGCTGAGCAGTAGCGAGTGAGAGCAGAGAGAGAGAAAGAGCGTCAGGCCAGACTCGCTGTGAGTTCCTGTCACATTCTGACTGTCAACACCTGCCTCATCTTCTGCTCACACACCTGCTAAACTACACCAGGCGCCTACTGGAACATCTTTCCACCAATGACACCAAACTAGTCCTGAATTTGCACTTTTAAATCACATTTGTTGAGGATGTTAACAAAATTCTCCTTATAGTCAAAATAATCCATTTTACATGCTACTGAATAATTTCTACAAAACTTTTCAATCTAAATTTAACTGATTCTTCACTCAGCCATTGAAGTGAAACGATGAACCGCAGGCTCATAATAGAGATGAAACCTACAATCAGAATTGTTGACAGGAAGAGAGAGAGAGGAAGGAGCAGGAAGAGCAGAGAAAGAAGCAGGATGAAGATGCCAAGAAGAAGAAAGCTCTCACAAATATGACCCATCAGTGCGGCGGCATTCAGCAAAAGGTCAGTGTTTACCAACATATAAACACCGTAAACGTCTAAATATTTTAAAGTTACATGACAATTTTATGCAGATTCTTTCATTAACATTATAATTATTGCTGAACTAAAGGGTGAAGGACGCAAAGGTGCCAAGAAACAGACCGAAAGGGAGAAAAAGAAGAAGATCCTGGCTGATCGCCGAAAACCACTGAGCGTCGATCATCTGAATGACGACAAACTTACGTACGGAAGTTTTTATGCATATTAGTGTCATTAATAAAAACACCCCAAGTAATTGAAATGTCCAACAGTTTTCTAGGCTATTAACAGTATTTATTTATTTTAAGGACAGACCTGGAAACAGGCCTACAGGAAATAGTTTATTATTAGTAGTAGAATATTAGAGAATAATGAACTAAAGTCTATGAAGAAGTAAGTTTGAAAATAAATTATATTAGGAAGCAAAATAATTTCATTGTATAGCCCTCGAATTTTTTTATTCCCTGGTTAATAGTTGACCTTTACCACCAATCAGTGACTAGTGACTATTACAGTAAAAACTACATAATCGGTGTCAAATAAACATTTAAGATATTTTAATAGTAATATGGGCCATTCCCACTTAACTTGTTCTTGAGTTTAAAAACATTAAGAATAGAAAAGAACATCGTCTCGAGACGCGTTTTTCGAAACAAGTTAGGCTACTATTACAGTAGAACCTACACAACCAGTATAAAATGAACATTAAAAAACTTGTAATGGTGGCCATTAGCACTGAACGCGTCCTTACGTTCAAAAACGAGAGGAATGGGAAAAGAACGTCTTGTTTTTCGAACTCGAACGGCAGCAAGGCTATGAAAAAGAATTTAAAAACAACTCAGTGGAACGCCAAAACGCGTTCTGTGTGAACCTTTGCTAATCTCGTTACAGGGATAAAGTCAATGAGCTGTGGCAGTGCTTGATGCAGCTGGAAGCAGAAAAATACGATCTAAACGAGAAACTGAAACGCCAGAAATACGATGTAAGTGACAACAACCTTTACTTCCTTACTTTCAAGTTGCTTTTGAGACGTTATGGAGCTTCTGCCAGCCTCAATTTTTGAGTCATTGACAGTTTAACAAAATCCAGTTCCCTTTAAACAGCTGGAGTTTGGCCTGAGGTAAATAGGTTGCGTTCATTATCGCTGTATCCTGTTAGCACTGAGCTGTCATGTCTCTGTTTCTCACAGATCAATCAACTGCTTGCCTGCGTCCAGGATCACCAGAGGTATCAATCACAAGCTTGAAATCTCACCAACCACTTTGAGTGTTCAGATTTAAGGCCAGAAACTATTTTTAAACTCTTGCTTTTCTCTCTCTTAGTGCCAAAAGACGCGGCAAAGGCAAGATGGGAGGAAGGCTGAGATAGAAGTTGACAGCACATTATAAGAGGAATTTCTGGCCTCCTGCGTTAGTTTTGTTTGTTTGATGAAGATATTTTAAAATCATTATTATGAACATACAAAAATGCTTTGGCTGTACATTTTTGCTTTGCAGTGTAGGCTATTGCGTATTTTTGCCATGAATAAATGTTAGCTTTTGCTGTTTCAGTGTACTCAGTTTATGTTAATTATATTATTTAATACATTAAAATATATATAATCTGTGATTATTATTGCAACATAATATATTGTATTATTATTAATATATAATAGTAAATATAATATAGTTGAAGTGCACCATAAAACGATGTGTGAAAATGATATACGTGCAGTTAAAAACACCAACATTACATTAAACTACATAAATCTCAAAGTTTGCCTCACCATTCATTTCATATGACCAAAAATAGAAAAATTAACAAATAATGCTATGAAGTTAAAGGTGCACCTAGCAATTTTGGTCTCAATAAAAAGTTTTACACATTTACACATAACAGATGCATAGTGCATATGTTTCAAATCATGTAGACTCACTATCAACAGTCTAATAAAAGCTGTTTTATTTACATTGAGCACTTCTCCCTTACAGGGGCCGCCAAGTTGAGATCACATGACCAGTCACGCTACTCACTTTATCCTTGTAGTCCCTGTTATTTTCAGAATTAAGGGGAAAAAACTTTTATGTGATCCTGCATCTTTATCAGTATAATGCAAAGTTGACCACCATACCAAACAGCCAAACATAAAAAAATACTGAGTGCACCTTTGCAAATATCAAATAACACCAAAAGTTGCAAATGAAGCCACAACATCATGACATTTACACTACCTTTAATTTAGACTAGATCAGGGACACACAGTCCTTTAACAGGCCACACGTTATCTGCAGCGTACATGGTAGCAAACATACATGAAAGAGATCACTGAATGGGACGGTGTGCAGGTGTGACATGATATGTGCTGCCCTCAGTGTAGTTCGAGAAGAGTCCGTTGCGTACATAAAACTATATTCAATACACACTAACTGACACCAGTGCATTTTTCAAGTCGGCTGTCTGTGAAATCCAGACAGAAGAGAGACAAGGCTGATGCAGATCGCAGGGTTCGAGTGAAAGGGAGAGGGGCTGTACATCAGCAGGGCTTCACCACAGGTGCGTTTCTCGGATCTCGGCGATCACCTGACTGGCTTTCTGCAAGGCCTATGGGTAGAGGAGAAGATACAAGTTTTAAAAGAGTTGAAAATTTCTTATTGTATAATATGATAAAATACAATACAATAATTTTAAATAATATAAAATTCAGCCTCTACATTAATTGATTGATTGATTCATTAAAATAAAGATAGTAATAATTAACAATTTAATGCTTTTACTTAATATTAGATAATAGTAATAATATAATAATAATTAAATTATTATTAATGAATAACAGTTAATGCAAAGGCTTATCTGCATTACTACTTTTTCATGCATATACATTTATATCACCATGTATATTATTATTAAATAATAATAATCCACTTTTATTATTAACAATCAATTAATAATAAAGTAAAGGCTACTCTGCATTACTACACAGTTTAGTTTAATATACATTATTATAACGAATTATACATTATTATTATTATTATTACTTCAATATTATTTAATAATAAATGATTATTAGTAGTATTAATTAATGTAAAGGCTACATTATTAAACAGCTAAAATATTATTATATAACTACTATATACTACTATTATATAATTATTTAATATTATTATGTAACATTAAAGGGGTCCTATTATGCTGTTTGAGCATAAAAAAGATCTGCAAAGTTACAAAGCTCCTTTTGAAGTCCACTTCAAAAGGAGATATTTTATTTAACAGAAATCACTTTTTAAAAACGAAAAGGAACTACTCGTTTGGACTACAACGCATATTTTCCGGGATTTGTGAAATCACAAATATCGACGAATGAGACGAGACCTGGTTGAGCTGCACTAGAGAAGACAACGAGTGTTATCACTTTGTCGGAGACACGCTAGCTTTCCCAAGGCAGACGAACTTAGAGTGGATACAATCATCCGGGTTTAAATCGCGCTCAAATTGATTTGATTTTGGCTTTTTAGTTGGATGCCAGGGCTTTTTAGATCAGGTAGAATGTCTGATCTCTGACCCAGTTTGTTTGTTTGCTTCCATGGCTGCATTACGCTGTGTTTTCTGGCGACCCAGGCTGGCAAAATATTATTGGGTAAACTGTCAGTAGGTAGAATCACACAGCCCAAAACAAAAACAGACATTCTGACACGGAATGCACATTTTCAAAGCAGAATAACTGGCTGTAGTGCTGTTTTTCGGAGGAACAAGTATATTGAACTTAGCAAATAAGTTGTTTCCTAAATATCTGCAAATGTATTATGGTGTTTTAATGCTTTAGTGCAGACAAAAAAATGTGCCTACATATAGCACCTTTAAGAAAAATAGTTGTAGTAATAATAATAAAAGTAATATATAAAAATATATTACTGTTTCCTGCATTCCGAAACAAAGGAAATGCCTATAATTTAGCTGTCTGATCTCACACTGATGTCATACCTCTTTGTCAGTCTGTGTCTTAATCAACACTTCCTGATCTGTCACCTCTTTGGAAACAGATAGACCTGTTTTCATTTGTCAGACCTTGCTCTTCCTCATTCTTGTGCGTGTATGGACAGGAGTTCGACAGAGAGATTTCCCCTCTAGGCAGTGATCTGCTGTCCAGATCAGTCAGCGGGACTCTTGTCATTATTGCACCACACGCCGTCATCATAGGCATTTGCATGGCCCTATCTCACCTGCTCTCAGACCCTTACAATTAACTACACTGTTTTTGCTACTTTCCTTTTTGTATGTGAATATAAAATATATTGATTAGCTAACCTCTATGCCGTTCATCAGTGTCCTGTCCCATATTACATACTTGCAGTCTTTCAATGGCTGTTTCAGTGTGTATCCACAAAGTTTTAGATTTCAGTTTTAAAGGGGTCCTATTATGCTTTTTCACTTTTTCAACTTTAGTTAGTCTGTAATGTTGCTGTTTGAGCATAAAAAATATCTGCAAATTTACAAATTTCAAAGTCCACTTCAAAAGGAGATATTTTGTTTAACAGAAATCACTTTTCAAAAACTACAACGAACGACTCGTTTGGACTACAACGCATATTTTCCGACGAATGGGACGAGACCTTGGTTGAGCTGCACTAGAGAAGGCAACGAGTGTTATCGCTATGTCGGAGACACGCTAGCTTTCACAAGGCAGATGAACTTAGAGTGGTTACAATCATCCGGGTTTAAATGGCGCTCAAATTGATTTGATTTTGACGCAATATTTACACTGAAGCTCGCAGCAGGCGGCTATGGCAAGCGGCATGACATTTCCTGACCAGGCGCCAAGTGCTGCCAACACACACTGGCCCAGCTAACCAATCACAGCACATTTCGTATTTCAGAAGGCGGGCTTTCATTTGATACAGGAACTATTCGAGCCGTTCATGCCAGACTGGGGAGAGTGGTGTTGTAATAATGTAAAATATGTGAAAAATAATGTGTTTTTCGAACAACCTAGTATGAGAGCCTGTTCTAGTACACCCCCAAAACAAAATCAAGACTTTGTAAAAGAGCATAATAGGACCCCTTTAAACAACAAAAATTACTACAGTATAATTAAATGAACAACAAATAATTAATGATAATGTAAAGGCTACTCTGCATTACAAAACACTTTTACATTAATATACATTATTACTAATTATACACATTATTATTGCTGCCGTTACCTTCAGCATATCTGCGGCCTCATTGCGGCGCTGGGCCATGTCCTCTGACTCTGTGAGGAGGTCGTCCAGCAGGGCGGGTTTATAGAGCTGCCCCACCAGCTCGCTCTGTAAGCTGTCCTTCACGTGGTTGACCAGGAAGTGCATCACAGCCTTTGGTACACTGCAGAGACAGAGAATGCAATCTGCGTGAAACACAAAACCGGAAACTAATTCACGTGGCATATACTTTGTTCTATGTACCTGTCCTGGATGTTTTTACGGACAATGAGGAAATAAGATTTGATGAGCCTCTCGATGACCTCACAATCCCTCTGTTCACGAGCAGACAGTTTCCGGGCAACTGGCACAGGCTGGCCAAAGATCAGAACAAATCAACTCGAATTCATTGTGACCGACCGTGCTAGCAAATGGCTCTCAAAGAGAACACAAATGCTTGCGGATACACACACCAGTGTTTATTTACTGTCAGAGTGCAGGTTTTTAAGTCATTTCTGTGGCATGATCAAAAGTATTTGTGTTTTATGGACTCACCACATCAAGTAGGTTCACTGCGTGTCCTTTCTGAGGGTTGACGGGGACGGAGCTCTGTGGTTTCATCTTGTCCTCATATTCTTCTCCTTTCTTCAACATGCCTCTCCAGGTCCCTGTTCCTCCTTCCTGCTCCCCCTGAGCTCCTCCAGCCATCTGACACACAAACAAGATCAACACTACAGGACTGAACGCCCACTAGTGTTTCATGCCCCTTCCCATGCAGTCTATTGGTGCTTTACGTATTGTTTTTAGGCTTCAAACCGAACAAAGTTTGTACACAACAGTTCACACATAAAACAACAATTCTGGCCAGAAACTGAAAAGATACAACTGCAAAAAAACAGTTGCAGTTGTCAAGGGTCTTCAAAATCAACCTTTATATCAACTCAGCAAACACACAACAGAGGTTTGAAAAGATCCTGATGAGTAAAACCAAAACTGCACAGCAAAAACATGATCTGCTGTCAGTTTAGAGGTTGGTGACCATGCAGTCAGGGAGAGCAGTTTGAGTGGATTGAAAATCAACTCCATGCTTTGCCCCTACACACAGGTGGCACCACACACCTTAGGGCCATCGCCCTCAGCAGGCGGCTGCTCGGTGGGCGACACTGACTGCCCACCAGGACCTTTTAAGGACTACAAAGAGAGACACAAAGAGAAGAGACTAGTCAGCTAGAGAGGAAGGCAGCAGGTTTTAAACTAATTCTGCTCAAAACTGCAAGAAAAAGCAGCGAGACTTTGGTTTATGAAACAAACAAATTTCTAGTGAGGAAAAGTGAACAAAAGATAAAACAGCAGCCCTGAGAAAATACCATTTCCTCTGATAGTTCAAGATTTAACCATACCTTATCACGGGGGACCGCTGAGGGAAGCTCTCTCATTCGGTTACGTCTCTGCTCCTGTTACGAAGACAACAACAATAAACTTCACACTGAAATATGCTCAGATCAATATATTTCGGTCATAAATCTAAATTAAATTGTCATTAAAATATCAGTAAACCTCAATGTTGTTGTTCATGAGCCCACAGGCATCTGCGAAGTCTGGGTGTTTGGTGTTGATATAAGCCAACTCAATCGCCACAAGATTGTGAACCTGGAGCACAGCGTAAACACAAATTTAGAGAAGATACACTTGCACAGAAACTACATAAAAAGCATGAGAGAAAAAACAAACAAACCATCTCATTGGTGACTGGGAGCCTCTTCCTGAGAAGAGACGTCACCACTTCTACTATGGCATCATGAAGTTTTGGGAACCTAAGCAACTCCTAGGAAAGAAAAAACAAAAAAAATAAATAAATCACAATAAAAATTCAAACAATGCTGATAAAACCCATCTAATCATTTAAAGTACCAGCAATTATATTTGAGTGTTGGATATAAATATGTTGTGTATACAGATAAGAAAAGGTAAAGAAAAAAAAAAAGGTTACAATAAACATTTAAGTTTGTACACTTCAGCTTCATAATCAGCTTAGAATAATTACAAATTTTTTTTTTTTAATTAATAAATTATAAAATAATAATAACAAAAACTATAATAATAATAATAATAATAAAACTACAAAAAATTTAAACAATACTGATAAAACTAATAATATAGAATAATATAAATTATTGATATAACTTTAAAAAAGTCACAAAAATGAAAAATATTTTATATATATATTTTAAATATTTAATATTAATATAACAACTAATAAAAATTACAAAAATATGCTGATAAATCGTTAACAATAGTAGTAGTAGTAGTAGTAGTAATAAAATTACTATATATAACTAAAATTATAAGTATAATAATTAATAAACAAAAAGACAACAATGTGTTGTACAATAAACATTTAATTATGCACAAAATGTGCTAAATTAAAACTATATGGAAAATAAGCTGCACATAAAATAATATCAACATGTCCTTTAAACAACAACAGTATTTGCTCAAAATTCACAAACTGACACTTGGTGGTAGATGAGACATTTGTGACCCTAGACTACAAAACCAGTCTTAAGTCGCTTGGGTATATTTTTAGCAATAGCCAAAATTTTTTTGAATGGGTCAAAATGATAGATTTTTCTTTTATGCCAAAAATCATTAGGATATTAAGTAAAGATCATGTTCCATGAAGATATTTTGTAAATTTCCTACCGTAAATATATCAAAACTTAATTTTTTATTAGCAATTTGCATTTGTTAAGAACTTCATTTGGACAACTTTAAAGACAATTTTCTCAGTATTTTGATTTTTTTGCACCCTCAGATTCCAGATTTTCAAATAGTTGTATCTCTGCCAAATATTGTCCTATCATAACAAACCATACATCAATGGAAATCTTATTTATCCAGCTTTCATACGATGTATAAATCTCAATTTCAAAAAATTGACCCTTATGACTGGTTTTGTGGTCCAGGGTCACGTTTATTAATCGGCCAGTCAGGCACAGTTATATTTGGCAATGTTGTTAATCTCAATATGAGCAAATATCAGCTTGGCCATCACTAAAGGCCCATTCACACCTATAACACTAACTATATCAGCATCCACACCAACAGACGATACTATTCTGTTAATTCTAAGTGTTGCAGTTATTTTGTCTTCTGCTTCAAATGCTTAAGCTCTTTAGAGTCGGGTGGATTCTGATCAATGGTTTTATCGTTCATTAGCTGGAAGTGATTCCAACGGCATTGTACCTTGGTGTTGGTATTGTTATATTCATGATGTGGACTTCGCTATCAGTGTTTAGTAAACTTTAGTTATAGTTATCATTCTTAGTGTGAACAGTCCTTAACTGATGTACTGTTTAACAACAGTGGAAAACCCTTTTGCTTTCGTGATGCAAAAGGCAAAGATGAGCATGTATATGCAGACCAATAACTGATCAGTCCACCTGAGTGCTGTAGTTGCTACAGTGCTGAATGATCCTCTGCATCTCTTCATGCACCAGCTCCACACAGCGCAGACTGGGCTCCTCCAGACGCTTGACCTGCCTCTTCACCAGCAGCTCAAACGACACCTCAGGCACAAACAGAGCAGGACGGGGACCCTGAAGAAACACATAACAGCTACATTACAAACTACAGAAATATACACCTCAAACTATCTAACTCTACAGTGTTGTACAAGAGCCTCTTTAAGTCACTCGAATAATTAAAGCTTCCTCAAAGGAGCTTTGCTAAAATTGAAACCTGCAGCACATTGCAGCTCAATGCAGAGCTCAGCTGGCTGCAGTCTCTATTTTATATCCATACAAGTACAGTCGGGACTAAATTCAAATTATAAAAAGGATGCAGGAGTCAAATATTCACTGCACAACCTACCGTAGCGTTCCTAATAGCTGTTAGGACATCTATGGTTGTAAGTCCTCCAAGAGGATCGACCGACTCCAGTGTCCTACCAAATGTCTCATGGAAAATATAACAAATTCTTGCACCACCACACCTAAAAGATTAGAACAAACAACTATGGTTAGCACTAATACCACCTAGTTTGGAGTCAGGAAGATTTTTTTTAATTGAAAGAAATCAATACTTTTATTCAGCAAGGATGCATTAAATTGACCAAAAAGTGACAGTAAAGACATAATGTTACTAAAGATTTCCATTTCAAATAAATGTTTTTCTTTTGAACTTTCTATTCAGCAAAGAATAGAAAGTTTTCCTGAAAAAAAAGTTATCACCATTTCCACGAACATATTTAGCAGCACAACTGTTTTCAACATTGATGATAATCAGAAATGTTGCTTGAGCATCAAATCAGCAGATTAGAATGATTTCTGAAGGATCATGTGACACTGAAGACTGGTGAATGATGCTGAAAACTCAGCTTTGCATCACAGGAATAAATTACATATTAAAATATATTTAAATAGAAAACAGCTATTTTAAATGGTAATACTATTTCACAATATTACTGTTTTTACTGTATTTTTAATCAAATAAAAGCCTTGATGAGTCTTTTTTCAACAACATTAAAAAATCTTACCAACCCCAAACTTTTGAACGGTAGAGTATATAGCAAATTAAACCGCTTCATTTGAGTAACTGGAAGAAAAGGGGAACTAACAGTTCAGCGGTCTCAATGTATTTGGCCGTTCCTTCAATAGTGTTGCAGTACTCAGCAGCGAACTTTGTGATGAGTTGCAGCAGGGTGGAGCTCATGTCCTCTACCGGCTCACCGTAGCTGCTGAGCAGGGACTGATACTGAGCTGCTAAAACGTTGATACGTGTCTTCAGCTCTGGTAGACAGTCCCTAATGTGATGCATCAATAACCTGATGGAAAAAATAGGATATTAATACTTCAAAAAGCAGATATGCTCCGCAAAATGAATCAAATTTGATGTTTCAAGCTTAAACTCTCACCTATTTAATGTTCTGGCGAGATACTTGGTTCCGTTTCTGTTGGCGAGGGAGGGGTACTTCTTCTGCAGGAAGGCGTGCTCATCACGGATGGAGTCTGCCACAATTTTCTTATTATTGATGTCCAGCTGACTCCTGTATTAAGACATTTAGTCATCTTTTTTAGAAAATAAAAAAACAAAACTTTTGCATATTTTGTTAATATATTAATATCACAATCAATATTTTAGTGTAATTATACTTATATAATTCTTTAATATTCTAATTTTCACACACACACACACATATATATATATATATATATATACAGGTAGTGGTACATCTCAAAAAATTAGAATATCATGAAAAAGGTCAATATTTTTTGTCACTCATTTCAGAAAGTGAAACCCATATATTATATAGATTCATTACACATAGAGTGAAATATTTCAAGCCAGCCTTTCTTGAAATTTTGATGATTATGGCTTACAGATAATGAAAACCCAAAATTCAGTGTCTCAGAAAATTAGAATATCACATAAGATCAAAAAAAAAAGGATATTTTAAACAGAAACGTCAGGCTTCTGAAAAGTATGTTCATTTCTATGCACTCAATACTTGGTTGGGCCTCCTTTTGCATGAATTACTGCATCAATGCGGCGTGGCATGGAGGCAATCAGCCTATGGCACTGCTCAGGTGTAATGGAAGCCCAGGTTGCTTTGATAGCGGCCTTCAGGTCATCTGCATTGTTGGGTCTGGTGTCTCTCATCTTCCTCTTGACAATACCCCATAGATTCTCTATGGGGTTCAGGTCAGGCGAGTTTGCTGGCCAATCAAGCACAGTAACACCATGGTCATTGAACCAGCTTTTGGTACCTTTGGCAGTGTGGGCAGGTGCCAAGTCCTGCTGGAAAATGAAATCAGCATCTCCCGTGCTGCGATTTATATTCCAAAGCCACTAATATAATGCAGAAACACTCAAGCAAGCAAAACACACGCAATGCCTGCACGTATTTGTACTGATGCAGAATGAGAGGGACCAGTACAGTACAGCCTAGCGCATTTCACACAGGCTGTTAGTTTCACTTTCGCCAGAAAGTCGTGTATGCCTAAGGTTGAAAATAAATGATGTTTATAGTGAATGCCCCTATGAATGGTTTTATTTTTACGATTTCGTTTTAATTCAAATGATGCGTGTGCTCAGTGAGTGAACATCAAAGA